AGGCAGGATTTTGTAAATCTTTCACTTCCTTTGATGTGTCTCTGCAGTTTTTAGACTAACAGGTTGTTTTTTTTAACATAAGACAGCATCCATCTTGAGAATAAAACCACCAGGTATTGTCTCGAAAGCAATGAAAAGTAGGGAACAGTGCATGAAACATCCATATATTGGATCAAATATCTTTCTGGAAAATCGACTCCGATGGGAAGAGTTAGCATGAGTCATTATGCGTAAGGGCTGCAGAACCAGGGTGGAAATAGAGATTGCACCTGGTTTCTCACTGTGACAGCTTCTAACAAGCCTCTAGTATTAATAATCAGGGTGTAACTCACACTTTCATGAAAGGACAATGCTCTATAGTCTGTTTCAGCTGATTCTATTACACCAGTATGCTCTAGTGTGCAAACTGCTGTGGCACTGGAGTTTGTGATTTTGACTGAAAAGTATTAATAGAGCCTGTTTCAGATCCATGAATAGCAATAGCAGGGAAAGGCTTACATGCAGTTGGTTCAGACAGAGCACCAGAAATCCCAGGGCAGAGAGGGAGGAATGTCCAGTGCAAATGTTAACGTTCTCCATGCTTGTAAAACTCAGCGCAGGCTTAGGGGCATTCCACAGCTGTGGGTTGAGTCACCCAAATCTCATGGTCTGGATGAGAATAATGATGACAGCGCAGGCATGTCTGGTGCTTCTTGCCTTCTTTGAGAGCTATTATTAAACAAGTTTGTCTTTCAGCTCCAGTGAACGATGTGGGTGTCCGGGAAAAATCACAGCTTGTCAGCCCCCCTAAAGCCTAACTAAAGCTGTAAGAGGGGGGAGAAGGAAAGGTTTCAGTGCTGTTTGTGAGTTCACTCTGAATCAGCTCCTCTGAAACTTCAGGAGGGTTGAAGGGATCTGTACACATGGTGTGAGTTTTGCATTGCCTTGTCTCTTGAAACAAACTAAAAAATCCATCTTTTGCATAACTATGTTAAAGCCGGCTAAATAACATCAACATCAAATTAATGGATTTGACCTTCCCGTACGAAGGGAAACGGTGGAATATGTATTTAGATTTGGATTTGGCAATCATGCTTATTCCTTAACTTAAAATTAGTCTAGAAACCTCAGCATAGAAAAAAAAAGAATTTAAGGTGTTAATTTAGACTTCATCTTCTATTTTTATAAGCTTTGTATTGATATGACTGGAAATATCTTAATTCAGTTAAAGGTCCTCATTTTCTGGATGTTAAAATATGAGACCATAAAGTAAAAACTCCTGGTTCTCTGGCAGATCTGTGCAGTAGGCTCTGCATCTGTATTTTGCCATTTTTAAAATGTGTTAATTGGTTGTCTTCACAGAGGCAATGCTGGGTTTATGCAATTTGCTTAGACTGTGAAATATCATGTGAGTTTTACGTACTGCTGTAGTTCTTTTTCACACTCACTGCTTCACGACCAGCATGTCTATACTGCAGCAATGTTACAAGCATTTTTAGTAGTAGAAGATATAATCAAAGTAAAAACAAAGCATGCAGTCTCAGCTTTAATTTAGGGCAAAGGGCCAACTAATTGGATGGCCTCAAACCCAGTGTTAAGAATTGAATTGCCACATTTTTGCCCAGGTTTTCCTGGACACACATGTGCATGAGCAAAGCTTCCTGTGTATGCACACAGTGAAGTTGATCAGCATATGTGCAATAAGCCTGATACGTCCCAATTCACCCCTGTCCTGGTGTACAGTATGTATGCTGTACAGCCAGGCTGAGCATTTCCATAGAAAATATACGTGCGTGTAACTGTAGCCCACAAGTAGTTCCATGAAGTCTATTTGTATAAATAAGCTTATTTATTTTCAACAATTGGAGTGTAAAGAATTAGGTGCCCAACAGGTGGGATTTGGACTATGACTGGATCTCTGGATGGTCATGTAGAAATGTTGTAGCTTTTAAAACCATGAGTAGGCTGAGGCTTGATGACAGCTGCATCAAATTCACTCAAAAAAGTTAACTTCACTTAATACTTCAGTGTATCTGGAATGAGCTGTGAGATTTGGCTGCAACCCAAAACAAGTGGATGTTGCATTTTCTTCAGAAATTAGCCTAAATTTATTGAAAGTTATGTTGATGTGCCAAACAAATCTAGTCCCAAAAGTCACTGAGCTTGTTACTTTTCATTTATCAAATAGATCTTTGTGCTCTGATCCCAAACTTAATATGAAGTCTTGGGCTTCATGGGGTATGTTTAATTACTAACAAATTGAGGTCTGCCTAGTTCTACAGGGAAGAGAGAATCAAGAAGGGAAAACAGAAGAGAAGCCTTTTTCCTGTCTAGGTCATTTATGTTTAATATAGCTACTGACTGGACACCTTCCAAATAATGTCAGGCTTTGAATATGGAACATTTGGAGCCAAAGTAGAAGTCACTCACATGGCAACTTTAAGAGCAGCTCTATCCCACAGCACTAGTTGCGGGCCATATCCTTCTACGCAGAGTAGCTATTTGTTGTGTTGTCTCAAGAAAACATCTATTGGGATCTTCAACCTCAATGTCTGTTGACTGTACTTGTGACACTGTGTACACGTGGCAATGTTTTTTGGGTATGTGGTGTTGTTCAGTGAGGAGTGTGGCTGCAGAAGGTCTCTAGTCCTTCAGCTGGACCCAAGACCAGTGCTGTGCACGTCTGTACCTGACACTTGCGGAAACAGCATGACTATTACAGAATTGTGTGTGGGAACTTGCTGAGACTGTCAGTTTGTGTTAATCCACCAGCTTCTCCTCAGACTGTGAAACTCAGACCTGTTGCAAGACATTAAGTCTTTCAGGAAAGAAAAATGTATTTGTTAGCGTCCTCTTGCATATGGGGATGCTAACAAATGAGGTTCCTCATTCTTGCCTTCAAAGCCTCTCATGACATTTCAGAGAAATTTTAATAGAATTATTTTTCCCTGGAAGAGAAGAGCTTTTTCAAATAAAGGCATTTTGAGAAAACATGTTAGTCTTGCATAAATTTTATAAAGCTAAAATTTATGTCCTCTTGACATTTTTTCATACCATGATAATAAAAATGCTAAGAACCGTAATCAAGATGGTTAACCAGCTATGAGATGTATATCAATTTTGTCTACATTAAATGTTTTTGTCAGCCTAAATAATTGGGGAGCAGGTGGGAGAAGAAGTATTTTTTTGGCTTCTTTTTGTAGAAAGGCAATCCAAGTAACCATAATGATCAATTCTGTTGCCCATGATAGAAGTATTTAAGATTGGATGCACAGCTTTTGAGCTCCTTTGGATAAGCAGTCATCAATATTATCAGACTTCTTGTTATGCTGCAAATAATGGTTGTCTTCTCACACACCATACAGTCTGGTATTTTCTGTCCTTGATCGTTTCCTGTTACCTGTAGAAAGGCATGTTCCTTGCAGTTTACACTGAGCAGATATGCTGTAGACTGTATAACCTCAGTTTATCAAAGAACAAAGACAACTGAAGGAAGAGCGTACAACTTGATTGCTGTTACGTGCTTTTATATCTATACTGTAGAAGAAAGTAGGCCATCAAGCAAAAATGGCATTAGGAGAGTTGCTGGTTATTTATATAGAATGTGTCAATGCAGATGTGCATGAATTGCATTTCAAATATTTTAGGAAAACAATTATTATATGGTACCTTTTATTTCAAATAGATGATATAGACACCCCTTTTTAATATTTGGAGAAGACTGGTCTATTTTTTTCCTTTTTTTGCACTTGGAACTTCCATGAAAATTAAGATAAAAATGAGTCATGTTCCTCTTCACTGGGTATAACAGGCTACTGCAATTAAGTGTGCTTTGCACTTGTAATTCTAGTCTGGAGCTGCAACCACTTATTTCTCTTGAGGGAAAGGTGGGGCAGGAGCAAAATTAATTCACATTACTTTGAAGAATCCTGATCTTTCCCTGTTTTCTCCACACGATTGCTAATTTTATTATTATTCACTCTTTCTTAGCTGTTCTTGTTAAAAAAAAATATAAACAAATGTTTACATTTTTTTTCTCTTATTTTACTTAGTCACAGGCGTTCCTTGCATTATATTGTTTTCTCACAGTTGCATTCTGCAGGCAGTATCTTTCCAACTTAAAGATTAATGGAGTGTGATCTCTTCAGAGCTTCTAGCCCTTATGCCTTTCAGTCAGTGTCCATAGTGAATCATATGAGGTACTTCCCTCCTGTAGGCATTGCAGGTACTGCTTGTTAAGGGTTCCCAGGCCGAAGGCCAGAAAACAAATTGCACATTGTAACTATGGAACCTAAAACTTTTCTTTATTCAATAATTTTATCCTTATCCTGCTTACTATTGAAAGTTACTTCTATGTGCAAACCTTTAGAGTATTACTAAATTAAAATTCATCTACTTCAGAATATCTTTGCAACTTGCTTAGTTTTTGTCTCAGGTAGATCATACAACATCAAACCAATGCAAGCTGTCTCCTTTTGTCTAGCTAGCAATGTTACATGAACTGGTTCTGAAACTGGGGATTGACATATGTATTTATTTAAAAGGATTCATTGTGAAGGGATCATAATAAGATAATTAAAGAACCTTATGAACATAAAGGCTCTGATTATACAACATTTAATCTTTAAAAAATTCTGTAATGAATAAAATATTTTGTTTTCAAATACATTTGAATATTCAGTTAGTTTTACAGTAATGTGGCTGCCAAGACTTTCACGTGTCATTGCATCTTCTGCACTTTATTGTTACTGATATGTTAAAAGTGCTAGATACCTAGCAAAAACATGTTGTGTTGCTAGTTTTGGAAAGGCCTGAAGATTTGGCTTGTATCTCAGCCCAAAGAAGGGGAGCATGAGGAAGGTTGAAGGTGCTAGTGCTCTCTCTGAACAAATCAGTAGCTGCTACTTGTTGCTGGTCTGCATTGAAAGCACTATACTTGAAAATAAATAATTTCCAGGTATTTAGTGAAGTATTGAGTCCAACAATTTGTAATTACTTTTTTCCTTTTCTTTTGATAACAGAGTTCAACGTTAGTTGCAGATATGGAGGAGTTTTTCATGTCGAGAAAAACAGTCGTTACAGTCTCACACGATCTGAAGCAGTTGAACTCTGCAGAGCTCTCAACAGTACCTTATCAACACTAGAGCAGTTGAAGAAAGCTCATGAACTTGGATTTGAAACTTGCAGGTAAAGAAATTCTTGAAAAAGTAGTATGTCATCTCAAGTCCCTCCATCCGTGCTATTGTGTTATAGTTACAGTCGTCTTTATATAGATGTTAGTAATGGCTGCACCAGTCCTCAAGTAAATTATATTCTGCGATGAGCAAAACATCTTTGTGCATGTGTATGTTTGCTCTGGGTCCAGTAATAAGTACATCCTTGATTGCATATACATTTTAACAGTTGTTTTTAAAAACTCATTTAGATTTTTTTCTGTAAGAGGTTAATATATTAATATTAATATATTAATATATTAATATATTAATAACAAAAGATTGACAATATAAAACCAGTTAGGAAATGTTCAGATCACGCTGTATTGCTGAATAATTGATAAGATAAGCATAAATAAAGCATTTATGTTTTTAATGATCCAAAGTAAGGTCAAAGACTGAAGGTGGCATATACAGCATAGGGAAATCTGTCAAGGAACAGTAAAAAGCATTAAGTGGCAATGCGAGGGGTAAGCTGTGGACATCACAGTGAAAAAATGGTCACAGTACTAGTGCATTCTTACAATCCGTGAATGGAGAAGTTTCAGAAGACAGCAATAAAAAACCCAAAACCATATTATGAAGTGACTTGCCCTCTGTAATTAATGATGTATAGGCCAAAAAATATGCATAATACAGACTCTTCAGTTTAGCAAAAAATAACTCCAAGAGACTGGAAGCTACAGAAAATGTTGTGTTACAAAAATTGAGTATGAATACAACAAAATATGTAAGGCTAATAATTATTGGCTGAAACCATTTAAAAGGGCTGTAGCAGAATTCTTTGTCACACCAGATTTCATCAAAATGAAATATTTTCCTCAAGGATGCTCTCTGTTCAAGCATTAATCAGGTCAGGACAGTCCTATAGTTTGTAAATATGTCAAAATAGATAATTATGTGGTCTTGCTTTGCAAAATACGTAGCACATTTATCATGCAAGTCATCTTAAGGGTTCATATGCAACAATGAGATTGATCTCAGCTGCAAATTTGAAGTTTTGTTTGTTATTTGTGGTTTGGTCTTCTGTTGTTTGGGGATTTTTTGTTGTTTTTTTAATCAATAATGAAGATTCATGTTGGCAAACCATTAGACTTGAAAGAAATTTCAGTAGATTTGCAACTTTATTACAGTCCAAAATAAACAGCAAATATAGAGAAATGGAATTTATCTTCTGACTGGAGTGGAAAATTTCAGTGGACATTTCTCCAAGACCTCAAGGCTTCCATCCTAGTACCATAAGAAATAGGGCTAGCTTAATACAACTTGTAACTATTTCCCATGAATCATTTCATTCCAGTTCTTTCACATGAATTTTCTCTCTCACTGGCTTACAAGCCCTTGAGAATAGAAAAAAGCTCCTTTCAGATTAATAGTATCTATACAAAGTAATTTTAATCATGGAAAAAATGCATGTGCAGTGCCTTGAAATAATTTTAACACATTTAAATATCATACACATAGCACATTCATTTTCACAAGCATTATGCCCTGCACAGTAGTGAAAGAGGCAGACAAAAATGCCAAGGAAGAATGGACAGAAAATTATCTGAAGAGTCTCCCATGAGAAGTGGGAATGATATTTAAAATAGCACTACATACGAACTAGAGATGATTCTTTACTCTGAGGGAAAACTGCTGCCTAACACAGCAAGCATGTTCTTTCTCTAACATTAACATATGAACATACTGAATTGTTCAGTGTTACAAAACATGTATAGAATCATAGAATGGTTTGGGTTAGAAGGGACCTTAAAGCTCATCCAGTTCCAACCCACTGGCACAAGGCAGGGACACCTTCCACCCAGTTGCAGACCAGGTTACTCAAAGCCCCATCCAGCCTGGCCTTGAACACTGCCAGGGATGGGGCAGCCACAGCTTCTCTGGGCAACCTCTGCCAGTGTCACACCACCCTCACAGGGAAGAACTTCCTCCTAATGTCTTATCTCAATCTCCCCTCTGTCAGGTTAAAGCCATTCCCCCTTGTCCTGTCACTACAGGCACTTGTCAAAAGCCCCTCTCCGGATTTCCTGATGGCCCCTTTAGGCACTGGAAGCTGCTCTAAGGTCTCCCGGGAGCCATCTCTTCTCCAGACTGAAGAAGCCCAGCTCTCTCAGGCTGTCTCCACAGCAGAGCTGCTCCAGCCCTCGTAGCATCTCCATGGCCTCCACTGGACTCGCTTCAGCAGCTCCACATCCCTCTTGTGTTGCTGCCCTGGAGCGGGATACAGGACTGCAGGGAGGGGGTGTTTCACTAGAGCAGAGTGGAGGGAGAAAATCCCCTCCCTTGATCTGCTGGTCATGCTCCTTCCAATGAAGAGACTATGGATCAAATCCTTACTAGCCTAGGGGTAGAGATTTCTAGTGCTAGCAGTTATAAGTACTCTGCAATGTGGAAAGTCTTTTCTGAAGTTAAAATATAAAGACACTTGAAAGAAGGAGTACAGGGAACTGTTTGGGTTTTTTTTTTCAGTGAGGAACTGCAGTTTTTGTTAATATTGCAATTCTCCCTAATTCACAGTTTAGCAGAGGACAGATTTAGACACGTAAGACATGGAGATAGGATTTCTTCCTCCCTTCCTTCTGGCCAGCCCTCCCACGCTCTTACTTTCATTTGCTGATCCTGTGCTAGAAGTCCTTGTCAGTAAGGCTAGGCTCATATCAAGCTTGAGTAGATGAGAAAAAATATACTGCATGTAATCATCAAAAGACATGTGGAATGGTGAGTGAATAAGATGAATCAACTGACTATAGCACAAATAAGCAATTAATGGATTATGAAGTGCCAACATCATAGTCTTCCTTGGAAATGTAAAGCAGTTTATAATTCCACCCAGAAGAGTTTCAGAGTTGCATGTTTTTAGACATGTCACTGGAACGGGGCTCACAGATAGAAAACCTGCAAAGCTATGAAGTTTGCTCCTCCCTGATAAATTATGACACTCAAGAAGTCAAACTAAACCCAAAGCAAACTCCAGTTCTTGTTACCATTCTATCACACCTCCCAGCTAAATACATTGGAATTAATCAGGTATTACAGGATTGCGAAATAGTAATAACGCATTGTGCATTATGTAGCTGGGTTAACCGCAGTCTTCACTGAAATATATCAGTTCTGTACACAATAGCTGCATTGTTTGACTGAAAGAAACAGTGGCTAAATGAGTGTTGTATCTGAATATTTTACTAAGCTGTCAGCTTTTGCAGAAAGTGATGTGTCTTTCAAACAATTTCTAAATTTGCTCAGGTAGAATAAATCAAGCCCCCAGCATTTCTGTGTGACATGTCACTGAGCAGTATGTTATGCTCAAAACAATGAAAATGCGACTCCCTGAAAAAAGCACAAAGCCAGTCTTTAGTGTCAGGTAATACAGTTTCAAGTTGTGTAAAAAGTGTACTTGCTTTCCAGTCCTCACTTTCAGTGCCTTGCTCTGGAACTGATCATCCTAGCTAATAAAATGCTCACTCAGTTAAAGTGGGTTTAGCTCTAGAAATAGCATGCAAAATGGTGTTGAGTGATTGTAGTTGTACAACTACATGTATAACTACATGTGAGAAAGGAACACCCTTCATATATAAAAAGTATGCATAAATGCATGCACTTCTAAGAAAAATAATGTAAGATAAAATAACGGCTTCTTCTTCATGTTTGAGATATGTAGAGCACTTCTGCCACCTATTATAATATGTAATATGGTGTATATTCCTCTGCTCTTCACAGGTATGGTTTTGTAGTGGGGTATGTTGTTATCCCACGAATCAATCCCTATCATCTTTGTGCAGCAAATCACACTGGCATTTACAAACTTTCAGCAAACACAAGTGATCGGTATGATGCATACTGTTACAATGCAACAGGTGTGTATATGTTTTTTATGACATATTAGCTAAAACATATAATCTCCTACTTAAGGTCCTGGAATGAGATCTTCTGGGTTAAATATCATCTGGTTTTCAGCTGAGAAGAAATACATTTTGTCTGCCTCTAGAAGAGTGTATCTATAATGCCAGCAGTGCATTTGACCAGTTTTGTCATTAGAGTGTTTTGAACTAAACTATTTTCTACCCCTAGGACTTAACTTAGTAGCTTCAGAATGGTTCATCATAATGGCTTAGTGCAGTGAACCTCTGCAACAGAGAGTCTTAAAGACAAAACTGTTGTAGGCAATGGTGCTCAGCTCTTATGTTCATCCACACTTGAGCTTCTATAGCAACCAAGTTATTTGTGGTAAGGGGTGCTAGGAGTGACTGCCACCTGCAGTAGGTTCATTCAATATTTTCTTTCAGGCAAATATACGTTCAGACATTAGGCAGTTAGATAGCGATGTGAGTCAGAAGCAGATCACTTTCATCTAAGGTTTTGAACTTTTAATAGTTGGGAATATTTCACTATACTATTATGAAAATATAGCTAACCTTGTGACAGCTCCTAGACACTTCAAATATGTGCTCATATTTGAAGACAAAATATGGACTAATTTAAAATGTCTTGAATTTTAGTAGATGATTACATTCACAGTGGAAACATCTTACAGAAAGCTGTAAGCAGATTTCGTTGATGATTTGGATGGCAGTGACATTTTTTTTATTTTGATCTTGGTGGTCGTATAATTAAAAATAAATTTTTCATTGGCATAACATCAGGTGGGCTGCATCCTCTGTCACCCATGGATGACGCTTTCGCTGCAGCAATGTCCATGCCCACCAAAGCTTTATAACTTTGTCTTAGAGACCTTCATAGAAGGCTTTTAGCCCTCTGGCTAAAATGGATTAGATTAGAGCTGCCACTGATGCCAAGACAGTGGAGCTGTCTGTGTAGAAACTGGGTAATAAGGTTATTTTATGTTGATGGCAATAATTTTCTGGAATGGTTATGGAAATGGAAAACCTTGTTAGCTGACAAAACTATCTTAAAGTGCTCCACCTGGGAAGGGACAAAAAGGGAATGTAGGTAGATCAGTGAATAACGTTTGATTTGGAAAATTGTTTTCAATTTTCCATAGCTGAAGATGATGTTTTGTAATTCCGTACAATTAATATGGGTATACACGACTTTTTTCTCAAATTTCTCAAATTAATATTTTCTATTTTCCTTCCTTTACAGAAACAAGGGAGAAAACATGTGAACCAATTGAAGGACTAGATACTTCTGTCCTTGAGAATCAGGGTGAAATAGGTACTGTATCGATTAGAAAGACTTACCGTATGTTTCATTTTTAGGATCTGTTTATCTTTTTCTACATGAACAATTGAAACTATTAAAAATCAAGCCAAACATAAGAAAAAGAGGTCGAGAGATGTTCAAAGCAATTAGTCATTTGTCTTCCCCTAAATCCTATGGAGCTTGGTTTGTCTTTACACGCTACCAAACATTTTTTACATAGGTATTTGACATTAATTGACACCTCAGAGCTGCTAGTATTTCTTTGACATATAAGATTTTGCTTAAGAAGCAACCTTTCTACATCTCATGTGAGCTGCTGGTTAGAAAAGCAGCTGGAAGAAAACTCTCATAACAAATTATTCCTCCCAATTCTAAACTCTGATTGGCATTGCAGAGGACAAGATTTTATGTTTAAAATCAACTCTCAGATCAATACATTTGACGCAGAATAGGCCCTATATGTTGGACAAATATGTATGTTAGCATATATACAGTAGACATAATTTAACAATGTATGATCTAGACAGATAAGATAGGATGGCAAAAATGGATGAACTGATATTAATCCACAACTGTTTCTTTTTATTTTGTTTTGTTATAGGACTTAAACTGTTTAGCATTACTGAAATACAGCTTTGTAACTCCTTGATATTATTAGCTGCTTCATTTCTTCTTTCCAACAGTGATTGACAATGCAGATGGCTCACGTTATAATGCAGATGGCACACGTCTTAGTGGAGAGTCCTCAACCTCAGGTGCAGATGATGAAAATGTAGGTAGTGGATCAACACATGACACAACTCCCATGGATACCTCCATCAAGAGATCCAGCCCCTCATATTATGGAAGTGCTACTTCAGTCTCACATCTGCCAGATCATTCCTCTGGAGGGGGTGAAAAAGAAAGCCCTAAGAAGGATTCTGGTAAGGATAGTATGTTGCCACTCTTATCTTCTTTAGAATAACTGTGTGAAAGATTACGTTGCTAGTTAAGGGATTTACTGAGGGAATGAGAAGCACTGTCCTAATTTGTATCCTGAAGAAGCAAAAAGAGAATGTGCATCTTTGAAAGAAAACAGAAGCATTCTGATTTCCTAGGACTTTTTTTTTATTTTTTTTTTATTTTTTTATTGCATGGGAATACGAAGCAGCCACACATCAACATATTTTCACATAAACTTTCCCAGGATGTTGAGAATAGATGGCCCTAAGAATCTGGTCTTGTTCTTACTAAAAGTATTTGCTTTGTAAAGTCTCAAAACCATTTCTTGAAGTGAACACAGAGGTTTGTGAGGCTGAGGTTAGGGGTATATAGAGCTAAGGATAACATTCTTATCTCTTCTCTGAAAGGAATTGACTTTTCAACCCTAGCTGTTCTATGACAAGAAGGAGTTTGGAGTACAAGTGATTTCTCTTCATACAATATGGGTTGGGGGGTTAGGACATCTTCTAAGTATTACAGAATGCACAGAGAGTTAAAAATGTCAAATTAAAATGTTATTAATATCTTCCTTTTGGTGGTAAAACCAAATTCTATTTTTACGGAGCCCTACCAGATATAAATGCCATAGGGTGTCCTGCAGAGTAACAAATTAATGAATTAGAGTGACTTTCCTTTATCTTGATTTCTTGTGAGAGGAGCATGTATTTTATTTTATTTCATTTCATTTCATTTCATTTCATTTCATTTCATTTCATTTCATTTCATTTCATCTTTCAGAGGTCTAAAAGATTACCTCTAATTACAGGCTTTTTATTAAATAGCCAGTAATTTACCAGTGAAGGATACCAGTAGTTTGCATCATTATTTTCAATAAATACTGGAATTTAAAACAAACAAAAAAAATGATCAGAAGCATTAGGATTGTAAAACCACTTTTCACTGGTGGGTATGCGCTTGACATGTTATGCTTGTTTTTCCATATAGTTAGTGTAGAATCACAGAATGGTTTGGGTTGGAAAGGACCTTTATGTCCATCTAGTTCCAATTGCTGTCATGGGCAGAGACACCTTCCACTAGACCAGGTTGCATCATTAAAAGTAAATTCTATCATCCTCTTCCTAATGAACCAGAATTAGAGCCGTTCCCTATGGTATATGCCATGTATTTCAATTGCTTGCCATGACAACTGTTGTCAATTCTGCTTGCATGCAGAGCTAAGGGTTTTGAACTAAATCTCAGAATATACCTGAGTAAAGAGTGGAATAGAAATAACTTCACTTCTTGCTCTAGGATCCCTGTCCCTGGTATTCAAGCACTGTCCGAGCTTGTATCACATGAACAGATCATTGTCTGCATATTTGTTATCACTCTAATACACGTTCATCTTGAAATAATCTGTTTTGTTGATATTCTTACTATGGGATTGAATTATATGAAGAACCTAGTTTATATCTTCTCGCTTGGACCAATAAATGAAGGGATGAAGCTTGCAGTAGAGAATAATTGAAGTAGTTGTGAGTTGCAACTTAGCTAAGGAAATAGTAATGATTCATCCGTCACCATACAGATAATGAAGTTTCTTCGGTATCACCTGACATCTCTTTGGTGACAACAGCTGATGATTTCCCTGAAAAAGGTGGTGGACACTATCCTGCAAGTACTAGTAAGATTTATACATTATAATAAAGACATCAAATATAGATTGCATTAAAACTGCTTTCTTTTTCCAGCATGGCATTCTGGTAAGTGGTGAAGTATACATCATCTCCAGTTTTGGAAAGACATTGAAAGACAGTATTTTCCAGACTGGTTAAATCAGAAACAAACTTCACTCTTTGTAACAAGGGGAGCAAAAATATTTACTGTATGTTTACGTCAATGCTTATACATGAGGTCAGAATGATTGTTGTGTGTTTCCTACTTTTTTTTTTTATCATGTGTTTAATCTCTGAGGCACAAATTAGTGTAACTGGTTATTACTTGAAGTCAATTTATTTCTGAGGTAGAAAAAGACATTTTTGTCAATTTGTGATGAAAATGTCTGTATATTATTTTAATATGCTTATGGTTGTGAATGTGGGTAATCCATGTCAAAATCATGGCCTTGCTTGTCAAAGTAGTGCTTTAACTGGCAGTTCCAATTGCCAAACCACTTGTGCGCTGCAAAAACTAGTTTTGTCCTTGTTGGCAATATGCATGAGAAAAAAATAGCTCCACAGGCTCTGAGGGCTCAAAAGAACAGGAGCCATTTTCTCTGCTTTGTCCCTAAGTAGCTGTGCTCAGTTGGAAAAAGTTTCTTCCTGCTGACATTTTTTTTCCCTAACATTGAAGCCTGTGATAGTGAGGAATTTGCTTAATTGTTTGTTGGTTGCTGATAGATGGTCAAATGGTCTATGTGACTTAAAGGAACTGTGCCCTCATTACTCTATTTAGAAATCCCAGAATGAAGTGAGAATGATTATACGTCTTTCACAGTTAGGAAAAGCTTTATTGAAAGACAGAAATCATTCAGCCAATCATCTTTTCTTAGGGGACGTGGAGACTAACACCTTATAAATATGTGCCCATGGCAGGGGGTTTGGAACTAGATGATCTTAAGGTACTTTCCAACCCTAGTTATTCTGTGATTCTATGTGGATGGAAAAAAAGAAGGATCAGGTTGATTTTCTCCCAGACCTTGAAAGCAAGTAGCGAATTTTCTAGTGCTTGTTCCAGGTGAAAGGCTTTGCTACAAAGCATTGTCTCTAAGGGATGGAATCATAGGATTGAATCCTAGAACAGTTAGGGTTGGAAAGGACTTTAAGATCATCTAGTTCCAACCCACCTGCCATGGGCAGGGACACCTCACACTAAACCATGCCACCCAAGGCTCTGTCCAACCCAGCCTTGAATGCCGCCAGGGATGGAGCATTCACAGCTTCCTTGGACAACCCATTCCAGTGCCTCACCACCCTCACAGTAAAAAATTTCTTCATTATGTCCAATCTAAACTTCTCCAGTTTAAGTTTTAACCCGTTACCCCTTGTCCTATCACTACAGTCTCTAATGAAGAGTCCCTCCCCAGCATCGCTATAGCCCCCCTTCAGATACTGGAAGGCTGCTATGAGATCTAAACGCAACCTTCTCTTCTCCAGGCTGAACCGCCCCAACTTCCTCAGCCTGTCTTCATACAGGAGGTGCTCCAGTCCTCTGATCATCCTCATGGCCCTCCTCTGGACTTGTTCCAACAGTTCCATGTCCTTATTATGTTGAGGACACCAGAACTGCACACAATACTCCAGGTGAGGTCTCACAAGAGCAGAGTAGAGGGGCAGGATCACCTCCTTTGACCTGTTGGTCACGCTCCTTTTGATGCAGCCCAGGATACATTTGGCTTTCTGGGCTGTGAACGCACACTGAAGCCGGCTCATGTTCATTTTCTCATCAACCAACACCCCTAAGCTGTTCTCTGCAGGGCTGCTCTGAATCTCTTCTCTGCCCAACCTGTAGCTGTGCCTGGGATTGCTCCAACCCAGGTGTAGGACCTTGCACTTGTCATGGTTAAACTTCATAAGGTTGGCATCAGCCCCCCTCACAAGCGTGTCAAGGTCCCTCTGGATGGCATTCCTTCCCTCCAGCGTATCAGCTGAACCACACAGCTTGGGGTAATCGGCAAACTTGCTGAGGGCGCACTCAATCCCACTGTCCATGTCACTGACAAAGATGTTGAACAAGACCAGTCCCACCACTGATCCCTGAGGGACACCACTCGTTACTGGTCTCCAGACAGACATTGAGCCATTGACCACAAGACTTTGCGTGCAGCCATCCAGCCAGGTCTTTATCCACTAAATGGTCCACCTATCAAGTTGATGTCTCTCCAATTTAGAGACAAGGATGTCATGTGGGACAGTGTCGAACGCTTTACACAAGTCCAGGTAGATGACATCAACTGCTCTACCCCTGTCCATCAGTTCTGTAGCCCCATCATAGAAGGCCACCAAATAGGTCAGGCAGGATTTCCCCTTAGTGAAGCCATGCTGGCTGTCACCAAGCACCTTGTTGATTTTCATGTGCCTTAGCATGCCTTCCAGGAGAATCTGCTCCAAGATTTTGCCAGGCACAGAGGTGAGACTGACTGGTCTGTAATCCCCCGGTCATCCATTTTTCCCCTTCTTCAAAATGGGGGTTATATTTCTCTTTTTGCAGTCATCAGGAACTTCATCTGACTGACATAATTTTTCAAATATGATGGACAGTGGCTTAGCAGCTTCACTCACCAGCTCCTTCAGGACCCATGGATGGATTTCATCGGGTCCCATGCGTTCAGGTTCTTACAATGGTCTGGAACCAGTTCCTCTCCTACAGTGGTCCCAAGGTCTTCATTCTCACAGTCCCTGCATCTGCCTTCCAAGACTTGGGTGGTGTGGTCAGAGCCTTTGCCAGTGAAGACTGAGGCAAAGAAGTCATCGAGAACCTCAGCTTTCTCCAAGTCCAGGTAGTCAGTTCTCATGATTGCTTCCAGAGAGGGCCCACATTGTCCCTAGTCTGTTTTTTATTTGCAATGTGCCTATAGAATCCCTTACTGTTATCTTTCACATCCCTAGCCAAGTTTAATTCTAACTGGGCCTTAGCTTTCCTAAGCTGGTCCCTAGCTTCCAAGACAACGTCCCTGTGTTCTTCCCAGGCCACCTATCCTTGCTTCCACCTTTTATAAGCCTCTTTTTTCCTTCAAATTTTCCTCAGTAGCTCCTTATCCATCCAAGGAGGTCTCCTGGCCCTCCTGCTGCAGTTTCTTCTAGTTGGGATGCAACACTCCTGAGCTTGCAGCAGGTGATCCTTGAATATCAACCAACAGTCTTGGGCCCCCCTGCCCTCTAGGGCTATATCCCATGGAACCTTACTAAGCAGGTTCCTGAAGAGGATAGGGGGGAAATCCCACTCAGTAACAGTGAGAACTTTGGTTGAGTCTGGTAATGATTTTTCCTTCATATTTATTTACTTTTGTATTCATGTGTGACTCAGTGCTTCTATGTACAGATGTTTCTGTTCCCATTGCAAAAAAACTGTGAGTTGTTTCTAGGCAGGAAAGCTTTGAGGTTTTATTTTGCTACTTGATTAACAAATGCATTGAAACTCAATTGGTATGTTCCTTCCTATTGTTAACAATTCTTTCTCATGGGCATGACTATTTTGCAGAGGGAAATCTATAGGTATTTAAGATTTTCAAAGATCAAAATAACTATAAAGTTATGTAATAAAAGAAGTCAATACTGATAGATGTATATCACAGAAGTGATAGCATTGATGATTGCTTGTTGGCTTAGGGTTCATAAATTGATTCTCTGGAAAAAAGGATTATGAAGGTACTGCACCTGTGCTTTTCTCAAAGCTTTAGTTATTACTCAGCAACATCACTTTAAAGCCAGTCAGACCCACTTCATTTGATTTTACTTCATTAGAAATAAATCAGTAATTTAGCACTCCTATCAGAAGTTAAATATAAGATACAAATCTCCATGAGAAGCAATCAAACATTCACTAGCATAGGAGAAAGTTGCATGGAGAACAAACAAAAAAGAAGGTAAAGCCATGCTCCAGTGTCTGCTATTTACATTGAGCAACAGTGCAAGCTCATGGGAATATCCTGGTCACAATCTAATTTGCCACAAAAAAGTCACAGACAGGAACATAGAAAATTCAGAATTAAGTAAGGAAAACTATTAGATACATTTCTAGATAGGTGGCTAAAAATGTATCTATCTAATTCTATACTGTGTGAAGGTGAGAGACAAAACCAGTGGCTATGCTACACACCATTTGTAAATTTAAATTTGGTGAAAAGTTCTCTAGCTTGGTCAAATTTCTTCTTTGCTATGGGTTTGAAGCGGGCAATTACTACAGCTCCTTGTTCTACAGATGATCCCCTTTCATTATTAGTCTGGCTTTGGATGTTATTGTTGATGTTCTCCACCAAGTTCACGGTCCAGATTACTACATTGCCATCACTTTACCACTGACTTTCTCCCCTGGCTGTAACAAGTTTTTCTTTTTGTTATTAGGAAGTTATGATTCCTCTGTAGATGTGCCATAGATCAAATGTCATAAAATTCTGTTGCTGATCAATGAGATACTTTCCTAAGTTATTAAGTAGTTACTCAAACATTAACTGTGACTGTGATGAATTGTGTTCATCCATATGTATATACACATTTTGATATTCCAAAAGGATTTTCCTTTTACTTGGTCCAGAACATTCCCTGAAAAATGTCTCATCAATGAAAAATGTCTTATTTCCATACTTTGGCTGTTCTGACAGGAAAGCATCTGCATTGGTATTTTTAACATGCAAGGAAGTCATGAATGCATGTTGATCACTTAAGAAAATGAGCTCCTAAGGCTTGTTGTGGAAAGCAGAAAGAGGTGATAATTTTGCTGTGATTACAGCAAGTCAGGTGTCAATTATTTACTTATTCAGTTGTTTTCTTATTAATAATTTTTTTAGGCATTATCATTTTGTTCATAGTCCCATCCCAAAGCCCCAAATCTGAGACCACCTGGGTTTTGATATCACTCAGATCAGATTTTGAATGTCCAGATTTCTCATTTTCTGACACCAGTGACAAATAGTACAAGTTGTATTAAGTTTAGGAGCAATTAGTGACTATGAGAAAAGACAGTATT